CGCCAATCGCGGTGGAGGCCGGATCGATGCTCCTTTATGGAATGCTGTTTGGGCGGGGGTTCCGGACGTTGCCGTCGCCGAAGTAGCGGGACGATGCCTGATTACGCCAGAAGACTAGCGGGGGTTCGGTGACCCGAGGGACCGTTAATAATCTGGACATTTATAATCGTGTGTTATGCATTGGGGAATGCAATGTGCTTGTGTTGCTGTTGAGCATGTCTGGATTAATAACCGTTTTATGCACGTTTACGTCATGTGGTTGTATTATGTGCTCGAGGAGCGAATTGCCATGTTATGGCATATTCTAACGTGCAGGGCGTGTGCATGTGCCAAGGCGAGGTGAGGACGCCTGTGATTGTCTATGGCACGTTGTTTGTTATAATTGCACGTTTAGGATTGTCCGGAGGTACATGTTAGCCTAAGCGAGGCTTAGGTAGTTGCTTGTTGAGATTTATTTTCATTGTTGAATTATAAACATTTCAGACCCACGGCCATGACTGATCCGAAGATGCCACCAGGGTACCGTGATGATCTAAGGATGGGATTATTCCCCTCGTCTCTTTTTGGAGTACCTCTTTTGTAGAGGAGTTAAGCTTATCCACCACCCAATCCTTTTTATTATGAGTGGTGTCTAGATGGTGGCCTCTAGTAAGGCTTGTAATTGCTTATTTGTGTTTAACGCTATGTTTATAAAATGTATTTGTTGATGTGTTTCGATTGTCTCTCTATTATCCCGTTGGATTACATGTTGTATGGAGAGTTCGTTTTGCTTCCGCTTACGCTATTCATTAGTGTTCTGTTTGGGTCGGCGACAAATCATGGGATGTCGCATACTTGACGACCTCGGAGGGATGTTGGCGCGCTTGTAGGGTTCGGGGAATGACAGGTTATCAATGGTTAGTGATAGGTTATCACTTGTTTGGGTGATAGCTTATCGTGATTTATGTGATAGCTTATCTTGTGTATCATGTGATAACTTATCTAGTTTTGGATGATAACTTATCTTGTTTGGGTGATAAGCTATCGCTAGATAAGTGATAAGCTTTCAAGATATTGTTGATAAGTTATCGCAATAGGGCGATAAGTAGTGGTTATATGTGTTTTATGCTTGAGTTATGGGGTGAATTTATACATGTTTTATGGGGTTTGAAGCTTGTTATGCCATGAAAAATGATTGCCCAATTTAAAAACCTTGGTGGCTATTTTTAAAGAAAGATTTTATGGACGTATAAATGGTAATTCACGAGGAGTCATGTTTGGATGCCATGTTTTATGTGTCAAATGGGGCAAGGATGTTTTAAAATGAGAGTGTACAAAGTTTGACGGTTTAATTATATGTATGTGATCACGTGTGATTATTTTATTGCATTTTTACGTGTGAAAGTCGCAATATTTTGACGTATGAGCACGGACCATGTCTGCATTGGCTAATTGAGAAAGATAACAATGGGGACTTGAGTGATAGCTGTGTGTGCATGATCACCTAAAAGTTCTATTTGTGCCCGGTTATACCGAAAAACCGCCAACCTAGGGTTTGGCCGTGGCCGTGAGAGGTCGTGCCCAATTTGGTAATTGGATGCCATCACGGGAGCAGAGTGAGACGAAGTCGTTCGTGAATGGAATTCGAAACGAACCCATTTATGGAATGCCGTCATTGAGGTTGGTGAGACAATGCCGTGCCCGACGGAGTGGGACGATGCTTGGTCATGCCGGAAGACTGCCTTCCTGTGGGATGTGCCGTGGCCCGAGGGTTCATTTAATAATATGGACAATTATGAGTGCAAAGTGCATGGATGATTATAATGTGCATGGATGAGTGCATTGTGCCTAAAAGTGATATTCGATCATGTCTGGATTATTAAATTGAAATTGTGCATGATTATGCACTATGATACTCTTGATTGTGCCTCCTGAGCAGGCGATTTAATGTGATCTATTTATATGCTCATTGGAGCAAATACAGTTATATGATGGTGAGTGAATTGCCTCATGTATATAGTTTAGGCAAAGCAGGGGCTTTGCTATTGATCTGCCATCGATGCTAGAATTACATGTTTAGGGCAATCCAAAGGCAACGTATTCTCCTAAACGAGGTTTAGGGAGTATACTTGCTAAGTTTATCTCACCCCTCGTTGATAAATATGTTCAGGCTTGGAGTGATGAATAATCGTTACGTGCAGTTCGGAGACCAAGGGTGATGATGGGCATTGGATGCATCATCCTTTTTGGATGCCCTCTTGTGGAGGAGTTTAAGTTAACCCGACCACCCGATCCCTTTCGTATGCGTGGTCTTGTTAGGAAGTCGCCTTTGGATAGGCTTGTAAATTGAAATCTTCCTAGGGTTAACTATATCTTTATAAAATGACTTAGTTGTTTTGTGTCTCAAGGCGTGTTCCTTACTATCCCTTGCTATGATTGTTGATTGAGAGTTTTGAGTACGCTTCTGCATGCGTTTAATTGAAAGATAAAAAGAATGGGTTGGCGGCGCGTCTTGGGACGTCGCAACTTAACGACCATAGAGCGATGTTCGCGTTCCCATGGGACCGGGGCATGACAATGAGACTCATAGGATCTTCCAAGGATTCCTATCTCAATCATAGTGTAAAATTGAAGAGCAATCTTCAGTCTATGATTAATGTTAAGGATAGGTTGTGATGAGATTTATGAAGCAATGTTTCCATTGATGATGATTTCCTCTCGCATGAATTTAGAAGTAAGAAATCACTTGTTAAATCATGTTTAGCACACCTGGGATTGTTCAAGGCTTGCTGGCCGAAGCTCTCCCTATGCATTCTTATGTTTATTTTGCTGCAATTTTGATGATGAAGTCTCGCATGCCTCAATTTGCTGATTTAATTTCAATTGTGAGGATGACGTTTAGGAGTGTTTTAAGCTTCTATGAACTTGATTTGATGATTAGAATACTTGTGTGTGAGTTTGATAGCATGATAGTCTTAGATGCAAATTCAGAGTTCTCTGAGGTAGGCTCTGCTTTTAGGTGATTTGACTTAGAAAACTTTAAAATCTGGAAAAGTGATTGACTAATGAAATGTTCATAACGTCATAAGCTTCGATTTGATATAATGTGATAAAATTTGAGTGTCAATTGCTAAGTCAAATCAACCTTGAAATCCAGATCACAAAATCATTGAAACCGAAATTCAACTATATTCTTAAAAAACTGAACACACCAATCTCAAAAACCTGAAAAACTAAAATACTTAAACTCGGCATTTGAAGAAATCATAAACATGAAAGTTATATAGGACATCACAAGCTTTTCAACGAACCTAATTTCATTAAGATCTCAACTCCTTCAATAGGTTAATTGATTTTTGGAAGAATCGGTCTTGATTCAGTGAAGTTACAGAGTTCTAATCTCATCCGTAGGACAATTTTTGAAAAGTTTATACTGAAGATAATATAATCTGGATTGATGAACTAAGAACTTTTAGAAGACACATTAATCTATTAAACTAGTAAGTTTCATGAAATTTCAAGTTAGTTTGATATGTTAGTTGAATTTTCAAAACTGGACTAGCAAACTATCAGTGATTGAAAACTGGGATCTAACCGCCGGGGCAACATATAAAATTTAATACATTGCGGGCCAAATTTGGAAATGTGATAAACAGGGAAATTGTGGAAGACATCATGAACTACCAGACTGGAAAGTTTCGTGAAATCTTGAATTTTTTTGCCACCTGAACCAAATTTTACAAACTTCGGGGTCTGATCAGGAGAAAAATTGGACAGTTGAGGCAAATCTGTAAAATTGAAATCTTAAGGGCCAACTCATAAAAAAGGTCAACTGAGAACTTAAAGAGGACTTCAAAATCTTTTAATACATATAAGAATAATTCAAATCCGAAATCATTTGGTTGACCTAAATCATTATAACTTAACTGATCAGATTAAGGTGAAAATTGAGAAGTCAAATCTTAGGTATTGACTAAGTGAGCTTAACTTTCCTTTTTTAAGACATGACACAACGTTGGACTTCTCAGAACACTGCTCTCTATAGATTAGTGGTGTGTGTTGTGGGGATCGGAAGGAAGAGAAGAAATTTCTAGGTGAGGCATTTGGTGATACTGTCTTTAAGACAATGATTTGCTCAATATGATTCTTGATCTAAGCCAGTCGGCTCGGATGGAAATCCTGTCCCTAGGATACAACGCCCAGACACTGATTTTTCTCACTTAGTCTGCATACTATTAGTCTGCATACTAGGACAAGGAAGAGCACGATTCTAAGTCTTGAAAATAATAGTCAATACGGAGCAGATGTTTATGATCGACAATGGAAGTGACGAAAAAAGAGAACAGGGACAGAGCGGGGAGTTCTATGTATTTTCTGCTGTTGATGTTCTCAGTTTTGATTCAGTTTTAAGAGACAGACCAATGAAGACCATTCTTCGTTCGAATGGTCACATTCAGACCACAGTGGGAAGGCAAATTCATGCCTATCCACTTGTGGCTATCCTTGAACCATTTGGGAAACAAAATTTAATAGTTGAGAAGACGAACCTTAATCTCAAACTACTACTTCACATATTGGTCATATTGGACAAGACTTGTCAGTTCTTTTATGGTACTGTGTTAGAGGTCACACACTTTTTCTCGGCTGGCGAGAGCTTTAGAGCTTTAACATGGTTCATGGGAAGCGACCCCGACTTCCACATTCGCAAAGTCGAATCCCATCAAGAGCGGGTGGCAGCCACCTTTTACGCTCTACTTGTGCTATGGGTTCGTTCCGAATAGTCCAGTTCAGTCTTACTTTGTTGTCAATGGACAAGGCGCATTTGGCAGTGGTAAGAAGAATAGTGATTAGTATAAAACCAAGAATGTTGAACTGATACTTGTGGCAGATTTACACTGTTTTGTTTATTACGAATAGAGCTCACTTGCTTTCCCAACAAAAAAAAAGTATATACACACACGAGTTAAAAAGTTCTATTTATGCCATTATAATGTCGTAGCTGATCAGGGAAAGCAAGGAAGGAGCGGAAAGAATATGGATTGTACAGATTGTGTCCATACATGATCGACTTATTCGAGGTACATGGAGACCGGAGAGAGTCAACATAAAGATAGGATTTCAGCTACAATAGTTTATGGTAAAAATAAAAAATAAAAACAAAAAGAAAAGCCAGTATAGTTTGGTTTCTCAATGGTCAAATTCAATTCCCATTATTTTCCTCACCCTGAATCGTCCTCATAACGTCAAGATATGACTTTCCTTGAAGCTCACGAGAGAAGAGTCCCCTGAAGTAATCGGCAACGCCTATTCTCTTGAACAGTGCTGGCTTGTCCGGTGTGATCAGGCTCGGTGCAGGACCCATGTCCCCTTCCATCTTTGGGTTATAAAATGTGGCGATTGAGAGCCTCTCCTTCATCGAGTTAACCGTTGCCCGGTGCTCGATGCTACAGTAAGTACCATTCGTCACAATCTGTGTCGATCATCAAATTCACATACTATTTTGTCAAACCTCTGATGAATTTTGTTCATGAAATTCTATTATCTGCACTCATTCTGTCAGACTATCTAGCTCATTGCACATATTGGAATTCGGAAAATATAAACGTAACTACACAAATTTCCGCACTCCATTATTGGTTCTGTCCAACATGTTATTCAAGATGGTTATTGCATTTACAACTGTGTAAACTTCTGTTTATACAGAGTATTCATCCAAAGATATCTTGAAGAAATGTACTGATAAAACGTGGACAGATTGTGTATGAAATAACAGTCTTATCATCAATAGCCCGTGAATCTAGACAATACTGGCTCGCATATCAAATAAAATTCAGGTGGAACTCCGCATCAAAACAATAGATATAGGGTCAGAAAATCTTTACCTCTAAAATGTCTCCCACATTGACGACGAAAGCATTAGGAAGGGGCTTGACAGGGATCCACTTGCCCTCTTTCCGTATTTGGAGACCTTCCATTTCATTGACTTGGAGAAGAACGGTGAGGCCCACGGCGTCGGAGTGAGGAGTGAGGCCGATGACGAGCTCGGGTCGTGGACACGGAGGGTAATAGTTCATCCTAAAGGCTTGCATGCCCCCATCAAACAGTTCTGTCATCTCCTTAGTGTCCATCTTCAGAGCTTTTGCCATGAGAAGTAGAACCTTCATTGCAAGGTCTCGGAGCGTTGAGGAGTATTCATCCAAGACATCTCTACGTAATAAATAGATGACACGGATAAGAATTAGTTACAAAGTTGAGAGAGCAAGGGAAGTGAGATGTGTAGAAAACATTTAGATGGGTTGTATATACAATATACATCATTCCGACATGGCATAGCCGGCGTTAACATAGATATTTTTAAAAATATTTTAATATTTTTAAATATTTTATTTTCTTTTTCTTTTTTTTCTTTTCTTTCTCTTTCTTTTTTTTTTTTCTTTTTCCTTTCCTTCTTCCTCCTCCAACCAATCATCGGACCTTGGCGATCGGCCAGAGGCAGGAGCCGGCAAGGCCGATCTGGTGAAGCTTGCTAGGCGACGGTGAGGTCGAGCCTCACCCTGGTTGGGCAAGCCCCCGCTAGATCTAGTGAAGCTCGGCCTTGCCCAGTGACGGCGAGGTCAACCTTGCCGATCGTTGCCTTTGGCCGGTCAACGAGGTCCAATTGGAGGGGGAGGGGAAGGGTAGATTTACGACATACATATGGTCAATCCCGATCATTTTGAGCAAATAGTGAACTCGATGCATGAGAGAGAGAGAGAGAACCTGAACGGAGAAGGAAGCATGGGAAAAAGGTGAGGCTTTCTCAAATGTCTTGGGAGGGACACCATGTAAAAGAGGTCGCCCCAATCAAGCTTCTGCTCCTCCGAGACAACAAACGCCTGTCCAAAACCCTCCAAGTCTCCTTCTTCTTGCCAAAACTCCCTCTTCTCCTCCATGGGAAGCTTGAAGAACTCTTGTATTCCCAACTTCACCTCCTCCACCAATGAACAACTCACTCCATGATTTATCAACTGTGTGCACAAAAAGGGACCAATTAACTTCAAAAGTCGACTCTCGGAAAAAATAAAATCCAGACCTTTCGTCTCAAGTAATCCTCACAGAAAGAAAAAGTAAAAGATACTCTCATGAAATGATACCTGGAAGAATCCCCAATCTCTGCAGGCAACGTGCAACTTTTCCAGCTCGGACTCCATCAAACTGTCGTTGCTTGACGAAAGCTTGTTCATGTCAATCACTGGTACTTGAAGCAACAAAGATCCATGATCAACATGGATGAACGGATGATCTTGGTCGGTACGAACATAGCGATGCGGGATTTCGGTTATGGCCTCTTTGGCCAACTCTTGAACATTTGGGACTGGAAGAGAACCACCAAGCTTTGTGAGATTCGCGTCCATCAGTCGCAACGAGAGGATTGGACACAAAAACCTCAAAAGAGAAGGTTATAAGTTACAGCTTATATTTTAGGGTTTTTTATGGCCGTAGGATGATATGGAGGTTTCTTGTTTATAGTTGTTGTGTCAAGAGTCCTTACATTTGGATTCACAAGAACATGTGCAGTTGCAATGTGTAGTTTGTCATAATTTGATTTAGTCACGCATCAAGAAACATCAAGATCAATGGTAAATCTCACAAAAACGCACTAATTATAAATTGGGTTTGGACAGCAGATTTTCCAAATCATATCTCGACTTTATCTTTAACCGAAAATGACATAGACAATATTGGGCTGTTTTTTGGCTTCTAGCCAAGCCGAACCGCCAACTTACAAAAGTAAGGCTTCTTATCGATGTGATGAGAAATTTTTTACTGAAGTTATTTTTGCTAAATGATATTGGAACTTTTTTTTAACAATCCAGAGACATGGACACGGAGACCTGCTATCCAGAGGTCCATAAAACACCATGTAGATCTTATCAATCGGTTAACTTCAGGTTTTGGAATGTACAAGTGATATTGATTCATTTACATGCAGTTGGTGGAATTTGAATAAGATGCCTTCTAAAATCTGAGGTGGAAATCCTTTGAGACCCCAACTGCGTCAACTTTGGGGGTCAATAATGTGACAATTTCGTATTGGGTGGTTAAAGAAGTCAATCATTCAATTCATGGACCCCATTTGTTTCACTACGCTTTCCAAAACTTCACACATCGATTAATAAGTAAAAGTCATAGTACAACCATCTTTTTCCTTACAAAATTGATTCACAAACAGTAGACAAATTTCTTATTTATATGTTCATGTACGGTTTGTCACATCTATTTATGAACTAATACTGTGTGCCGATTTTCATATCTCTATAGCATCTTCCGAGAACAAATGTGTAGTGTCCCCTTCATGTTCCCATAAAAGGGAGGATTTCTCCGCTTTTTTTCCGAGAAAATGATGGAAAGTGCCACCAGCTTCGATTATGAAAATCGTACGTTTTCGAGCTAAACAGTCTCGTGCCTCCGTGAGGGGGCCCTCAGTTGATGTGTCGTCGTTGTTCGACGGGATGATTTCTTCGCAGTCTAATCACATTCGGTTATAACGAAGATTAAAGCCAGGCAAATGCTGGAGAGCAGGGGCATTCCTACTGTTGAAGCGGACTTGTATACTAACCAAGGGATGTTTCACGCGTCGGCTTCGATTGGCGACCAAACCGGAATGTGAGACTTTTCTGCGTCCTCGTTTACCTAACATCATGTTAATTTGCTGGTGGATTGGTGTGTGTGAATCTGAAGTAGCGGTAGAATTGCTGGAATGTTCACAAGTTCGCTCGTGGAGCACATGTGAAGTACCAACTGGCTCTGTCAGTTTGACCGTGAGGCTGATGGCTTGTCTGGTGATGGTTTTAGACTTTAGGTACGAGGCTATGGAATTGATTGTTTTGGTTGGAGTTGCCTGAAGGAGAACATTTCTTTGACGTGATTATTGGAAAAAGATCTTTATTTTGAGAGAATGCATTTTGCATCCAGAGATTTTACAATCGTCTCTTGTGAACACATTGCCTAGGATATTTATGATGTCGGAGCTTTGTACATGGTTTGCCAGCCCTCAGATTGGTGTCCCAGAAATTTTCTTTTAAGAACCTTGTCATGTTTCAGTATGACATTGAACTTCTCCAACTCTTCCATTATGAATAGACCGTGCATAATTTTGTCATAATGTGATTTAGTCACTCATCAAGAAACATCAAGATCAACGCTAAATCTCACAAAAACGCACTAATAATAAGTTAGGTTTGGACAATAGATTTTCCAAATCATATCTTGACTTTATCTTTAGCCGAAAACGACAGACAATATTGGGCTGTTTAGTGGCTTCTTATTGATGTGATAAGAAATTTTTTACTAAAGTTATTTTTGCTAAATGATGTGGAATTTTCTTTTTTTTTTATAATCTAGGGACATGGGCATGGAGACCTGCTATCTAGAGGTCCATAAAACACCATGTAGATCTTATGAACCGGTTCAGTTCGGGTTTTGGAACGTGCAAGTAGCCTTGATCCGTTTATATGCAGTTGGTGGAATTTGAATGAGTTACTCTCTAAATTATGATCTGGAAATCCGCTGAAACACCAACTGAGTGGACTTTGGGGGTTAATAATGTGACAATTTCTTATCAGGTGCTTAAAGAAGTCGATCATTCAATTCATGTATCCCATTTGTTTCATTTCCAAAACTTTCCACATCGATTTAAAAGTAAGGTTTAGTAAACTGTCATAGTTCAACCGTCTTTTTCCTTACAAAATTGATTCAAACAAATAAGTATAACGAATTTCTCATTTATATGTTCATTTTCAGTCTGTCACATCTATTTATGAACTAATACCATGTGCCGATTTTCATATCCCTATAGCATCATCCAAGAACAAATGTGTAGTGTCCCCTTCATCTTCTTCCAAAAGGGAAGACTTCAATAATCTCACGGAGTCACGGACCACTCTACTTGTCCTAGATCAATTACACTTTCCTAGGTATAATTCTGTTGATAATTCAGACATGAAAGTAAGTACAAAGAGTCGTGACCAATTCAAACCCATTAACTTAAACATATGACCGGCTTTCTTGCTTTTCTACGACAGATTAAGACACTTAGCCGCCCATTCCCCATCAAAATGATCACAAATCCCTCCTTATATCAGCAAAAGAGCAAGCGTTTTACACGTGGAAAGAACATAGAAACAATCGCATGGTTATGAGATCAATGCTTGAAAACCTAGTCCAGGGAAATTTATTTCGTTGATGTAACAATTTTGTGACAACGAAGCAGTGTTTTGTTGCCAAATGCTACTGTGACAACCAAAAGATCCGTTGCTAAATCGTACTGTGGCAACCAAAACATTCATTTCTAAATGACGAAAACAAAGGGAAATTTTGGTGGGGTATTTCACGGCATTTTTTGCAACAAAAGTTTTGGTCGCCAAATAGTTTGAAACGAATTTTTAAGTAATATGAGTTATTTTGAATTCAATTTGAGAATAATGAAATTAGACGACTAATTTAAGTTAAAGTAAAATGAAAATATGTCTTTTTTTTATGATTTATCTTGCATATAAAAAGAATTAAATTATGTCATTTTTATGGAAATTAACTTATTGTATAGACACTACCCTGTATAATAGAAAATATATCTTATTGTGCGAGCAACATATATCAGCTACTAACAAAAGTGCACACATTTGCAAATGATATTGCAAAATCTCCTTATTACAAGATATTTAGATTATCATTGAAAGAAAAGAAATTGAGACAATACAAAGAGATTATTCACGTGTATTTCGAAAAAGAAAAATATTTCAAGTTGTAAACTATTTTTGGTGGGTTGTTTATAAGATTGAAAAAAATTCAAATTTTAAATTTGAAATACGTGAGGTATGAAACGTAATCTATTTATTTACAAATTTTTCTATCGATGTAATATTTACAAAACGCCTACTGACGATATTTTTCGGAAAAAAAGAGATCTCGATCGCCCTATAGTATAGACAAACAATTTGTTTATAATTTGATATATTCTTTATTTGATTGTAATCGAATAAAAATTACTTAATATAAAGACTGTTATAAAACATAATTACATAACAGTCTAGTCATACATCCTATTAAAAGTAAAGTTAAAAAATAAAAAAGACAAAGAAAAGAATGTCATTTGTAAGGACCAAAGTAAATGTTCCTTGCCCAACATAAAAGTACAACGATTCCCGGGACGGGAAGTCTTTAGCTCTTTAGCTACGGACGAAATAGTCGTTGAAAAACGAGATCTACAAGAACGAAAGTACCCGCGATGTAATTATTTTTTGTGGGCACAAATCACCTATAGCAACAAATATTCTTTTGGCTGTGTTCGTTTGCGAAAAAATATTTTTCCGGAAAATATTTTCCGCGTTTTCCGGTGTTCGGGGGCGAAAAATGTTTTCCGTGGGAAAACATTTTCCTTCGCCACCCCCAAATCCTTCATTGTTTTGAGGAAAATGATTTCCTCTTTTCACAAAGAGAAAATCATTTTCCCCCAAATTGAAGGCAAAATTGCCCATGGGAGCAAAAATATTTTCCATGGGAGAGGAAGTTGATCGCCGGTCACCACCGTTGGCCGCCGGTCGCTGGCCGCCCGCCCGCTGCCGCCGGAGGTCGGACGCCGGCCCGGCCGCCGGCCGCCGCCACAGCCGGCCGCCCACGCCGCCGCCGCCGGGTCGCGGTGAAAAATATTTTCCGAAACTTTTTCATATTTGTCGCCGAACACCGGAAAATTATGTTCCGGGAAAATATTTTCCAGGAAAATGACTTCCGAGAAAATATTTTTCAAAAGGAGAATATTTTTCGCCAAACGAACGGAGCCTTAATTGCTATAGATAGTTTTCTTGTAATGGGACAAGGGAAGTGTCATATTCAACACGGATTGGTCGTGTACTCGGAAAACCCCAAACAATACCCCTTGTTAATTATTAAATTTACTGACGAAAGGTGAGGTGGACACCATCTTTTGATTTTCTTTCTAAGAGATATGATAGATCCAATCAAAAGGAATAGATTATTTGGTGATTCCATGCTTATCGGGATTTTTCGAATCTCTTGACGTATACTTCTTGAGGGATCGATAATTGTTGGATCACGAAAAAGTTATACGTCATTATACTATTTGTCACCTCTATACCAAATTTAAGTCCAATTTCTAACTTTTGTGTGCACTCTTCAATTATCAATGTCAAATGACTAAAAATACCCTTAATTTCAATATAAAAGAAGTGAAGAGAAAACTAGATATGATAAGAATACAACTTCTTTAAGTAGTTAGGTAACAAACCTTTTATTTCCTATCTGTTTATAAACTAATTTTATGCCCCGACTTTTGTATCCCTAGAATCAACCGAAAAAAATAATTAGCGTAGTGCCTCCCATAGTGGTCACCTAAGGGAAGTATTCTATTATCGGGCGGACCCGTCCACTTGTCCTAGATTTCTCTACTTTCCTAGGTGTAATTTCGTGGACGATTGAGACTTGAGAGTGAGGACAAGGAATTGTTGCTTTCGGTGGTTCATTCATTTCTTATTAGCTCAA